TCCCTTGCTACCAATGTGTGAAGCGTTTTGTATATCAACATGCGCGTTCCGAGGTACAAAAGCCTGCGTTAATCCTTCTACAAGCAGAGTCTGAATGGAAAACGGGCGGGGATTTCACTATACAGAAGACATAGAGCCTCTCGTTTCTTCTGCCATCGTGTTTTCGTGATTTCACATACAGATTTCAATGGTAAATTCGGAGGCGCTTGACATTTTAGCATTTGATTACATGTTTGGAAACGTTTGGAATAATTGGTTTTAATGTGTAAGTAAATTAGCTGTAAGGAGATGAAAGAAACTCTGTTTGGAAACCGCTGTGTGATGAAGGTACGCGTGTACTAGTATGTGTAAACTTAGTGTTTACCTCACTTAGGAAGATACCTTCAGGTGAATAATTAAAACCCTATGTATATAATTAACCAATCAGTGTTAGTCAATAACAAATACTGCCTCGTTTTAATAAATGAAGATACAGAGATGAAATATGAAAATGGCGTGACAGTTATCAAAATTAATGTTTGAATATTCAGTACAAACAGGCACACGCCTCTCCCTTGACTTGAATTACATGATGGTTTCTTTCTTCAAATTTGTTTTTAAGAATCGGGTATTGTTTATTTCTCTTCATTGTTGTACTTGCATAAAACCCTCTCTGGTGTCCTTTTGGTAACAAAGTTTCAAATTTGCTTGTTCGTTTACTGTTTTTGTTTTGTTTTATTGTTTATGGTATTCTCAGACATTTAATGACATTTTATTGTAAGAAAACAGAGACTGGTCCATTCTAACACTACTTCAGTTCTCTTGTTATGGATCCTAAAACCGAAAAGTGGTTTTCCGACTCCCTGCGAACCGGTTCCGGTTTGGGTTGAATGATTTGATAATTATACATCCGGGTACTCATGCAGTTTCCCGGTCCGACACCAGCCCTTCTCCAATGACAACACCACCCCACATGGCCACCCCGTTGAAGCCCACCCATCAAGTCCCCCAACCCTCAACACATATTAAACCTTACCCCGCCAACAGATTAATCGTATACCCGACCATGTAAGCTGTTCCTAATGGCAATTCTCAATATTCCCCTTGACGCCTCATAAGGGTTGTTATCGCTATTCACCTCGCCGCCTCTTATTTCATTAAGAAATACCATAAATTCATCCATTTATCCAAATTGCTCACTGAACTGTAAACAAGCTCATTCAGATTGCCCTGCCCCATCGCCCCCAAACAACATTAAATGACATCCTTCGCTCGAAAGTCTTACAAGTTTGAGAACTTGTGTAAACGTGTATCATTATCTGACAGGTAATATGACTGGTATGTACAAGGCCTGTATATTTAGGGGGGAGAAATCGAAACTACGTATGGCGGTGGTTTTCCTTACTTTTTGAAGTCGATCAACTCTTTACAAAGATCGTAGAGTGCCTTAACGTTAATTGAGAAACATGGATGTCGTGGTCGATAGAAAACCGATCAAGACGTCAACACTATTGTGTGTCTGTCAGGCAACAGAAGCAGGGATTATATTCTTAGTTCGCCTATAGAACTTCCCTCGAAGTGATCACTCATTTACACAACAGTTAAGCCTGGTATCTATAACTTTACAAATTATAATACTGGTTCGGGATTAGCTCGGCGTGTCCGCATTGTTTAGCGTTGGAGAGTGAAGCGCCGTGGCGGTTTGATGGTCACTGATGTGATGTCTGTTTATGGCAACTTAGCTGCAAACAACACATAGAAAGAAAGAGTTATTTATTATAGGGATGTTTTTGCTAACTAGAACTGTCATATTTTACAGAGATGGGAACATCTAAAACATATTATAAAAGATACTGGCAGTGTTAATATACCTTATAACAATAATTAGATCTAGGGTACAGGTTTCTCTGACATGTCGGATGCTTCATATAGGAGCTTTTGATTGAGCGAGTGAGTGAGTGAGTGAGTGAGTTTTGTTTAACGCCGCTTTGACCTGTATTTCAGTCATATCACAGCGTGTCTGGGGCTTCATGAGGTAGAAAAAAGAATGTCATACGTTTGCCATCTTTAGCAGACAGCACGATGTGGTTCTGAGAAACCAAGAAACATAACAAGGGCGAGTATGGGATTCGAACCTACAGTGATAGGTTCTGTCACGCCCAAGGAATTCAACTCTGTACAGCACGTTACGGTGCTTTAGACAACTGTACTACCCGCTCTGCTCAGTCATCTAACACGCCTAGATTGGAGTTACAGAGTTGAGTCCGCCAGGCGTGAGTTGGGTTTGACGCTTTTAGCAATATTCCAGCATCATGGCGGCTGTCTCCCGCATTTACAGAGAATCACAGTGGAGACATTTGGTTCAATCTTGAAGGACACAGACGTGCGTGTTATATTCATAAATTGTGTTTTTCTGTTATTTCAGTCATAACTCTACAATTGATGTATTGCTCAAACGGACAACGTCGTAAAGTGACCTATGGATATTTTGGTTGTCAATGACAATTTAATATTACAAATTAAATCAACTATCCTCCAATTTTAACCCATCCCCATCTTTCTTGTATCTATCGACTGTACACAGTATGTAACATTTAAGTTGGTATGCTTCTCAAGTGAACGTTAAACACAAACATGTACAGAATAGCGTGAGTTCCAGAACCCTTACGTAAGACGTGTAAGATCATGTTGCGTTGTTCTATAATACATGATTGTGTTCACTGCAGAGGATGGTTGACAGTGTGCGTTAGATCGTCCTTTTGTTATATTATAAGAATGAAACTTGACTTCGATTTCAACTCCTAACGAATGCAATGAAATAAACGCTAAACCGACCAGGTTAAAATAGCGCCATCAAAAATTTAACAAATCAAAATCTCATGAACAGTTTCCCCGCATGTATCGATAGTATAAGCTTAACATAAGTACCTGGTTCAATATTTATCACCAGTTTTTAACACACGCTACGAGAAGAGCCACTCAAACTTGCAGAGAAGGTTTATTTAAACTAACAACGCTTAAGACACCCTTCTGAGCAGCCACACAGAGAGAGAATGCATGTTCAGACGTCGGCATAACCTCTTCATGGTTTCTGTAGAGAGAGTGCAGTCATATCACACAGGTCAGGGATATTTGAAGCGACATTATAACACACGTGACTTGGACTTGGAGGGTGCCCTCGCTACCTGGGTGAGACACTTGTGTGTCTCATCTGTCTCTCGGAGATAGGGCCCCCAGGGGGTGCAGGGGGTCTCGAGGAACGCTGTCAGATCCCCTTAATCCCCGCGTTCTTATGATAATCGTGGAAACTATCTAGAGATGGGTGCAACTCACAATGGGGGAGGAAATTCGTGTTTAAATGGTGTTTGATGTTTATTTGTTTAAATGTTTGTACTGTGGAGTGTTCTTACTGTTTATGTTTGTTTTGACAACCTATTGATAATGAGTCAGTGAGTGATACCGTACTGTTATCAATAAGTTACATTCTAGCACTTGTAGTTGTTGTTTTCCGTTCGTTCTTTGTTACACGTTAATGGTTTAATTCATGTGTTCGCCCACTCACTACCTCACTCACACCAACCTACCTACCTGCACACCCATTCATTCATCTACCGATCCATCCATATTCTATCTGCAGCTACACCCACCTACCAATTTTCCATATCCTGTGTAAAAACTTAGCAGGTAATGACATCTTACCCAGCCTGCCAGTGATATTGATGACGTTTATTGCATGTCTATAGCCAAGCCATCGGTCACGGCCTTCACATCCTATGAAGACCACCATGTCTGGTTACTTCCAGTGTGTGTACAACCCGGACACACGTTGTATTGCACTCATTACCTATCCCGGCCAAGTCTCGGCGTTTTGGCAATAGGTTATTAAAGCCATTATGAGAATATATGAGGTCAATATTGTTCTTATAAGATGTCCCTGACTATAAAATGTGAGGTATAGTCGTCTTTGATGCTAGAAACAATGTACATATGTATTGGAAACAACACACCCATACAGCAAATATCCGATTATTGATTACGAGTTGGTGAATGAGTATGGTTTTACGCCGCTTTAGCGATATTCCAGCAATATCACAACGCGGGACACCAGAAATGGGCTTCACACATTGTACCCATGTGAAGAATCAACCCTTGGTTTTCGGCGTGCAGCGCACCCTTTAACCACTAGGCTACCCCACCGCCCTTATCGATTATGATAATTATTGTTATATGAAACAGCAATATGCTTCGTGGATAAATGAAACGGGGTAAACAGATGATAAATATAGATACCCGAATCTGGAATTTATGTTTTACCTCTAAATCAGGTTTGGATTATGATGACCTGATAAAGTTGTTTCAGTTTCGCCATTATATTCAGCACGCTAATACTGATTTATTTAAATAATTGCACAATACAACAAAAGTATTTTCTATATAACTTGAACGATATTGATTCATCTATTGAGATCATATTGTATATTAATCATAGCTCTTCTTTAAATATTCGGTTCAATTTTGAATAAATCTATTTACATCCGAACAGTATAAAGGATTATTGTAAAAAAAACAACTGTTGTCAACCTGTTGAACGTTTCTTTAGGAAAAGAAAAACAACGTGTGCTAAAAGGTCAGGTGATTTTGAACGAAATCACTGAAAGATATTTTTTTAATTTCTGGTTTACTGCTTTTATTTGCCCGTGGTGCCCTAGAAACCCACAACATGCCCAAACAGTGTCTCCTATTTACAGTAGCAACCACTCAACCGCTTCCTACCTGTCCCATTCCAATATTTGTCAATAACCCCCACTGATATATTCCTGCGCCACTCAAGTGTACATCCTAATCGAAGTATTCCCACTATCATTCTTTTAAAGTACAATGAAAACAGCCGGGGCACATTTCTAATACTATGTAGAAAAAACCCGTATTTAATATGTAATGAAATTAAACTTATTACACATTTTATAACTGGGACTATATCTTTACAGGCAGTACTGTGGTAAGTGATCTGAGCGGGTAGTGGGAGGTATAAAACACGGGTATCAACTAACACGAACTGTGGTTGAGGAGATTTGATATTTACAGCTGAGGCGTGTGGTCGGAACACAACAGTAGTCATGAGGGAAATCGTACATATGCAAGCTGGCCAGTGTGGCAACCAAATTGGAGCCAAGGTAAACAGTAGCATTTTTAATTATTTGTTTATTATCTGATATCTGCTGATAAACTCAAAAGAGGTGCAAAGGCAAAGGGTGCACTTTCTTTAACATAACATTTTAGGTCAGCACATTTCATTTGTTTCAAAGAATTTGTTTTCAACAGCATATGACAAGACTATTGCAACATGACATTATGAATATGTACATTTTAATTCAAACCCGGATGAATATCAGTTATATCTTTATGTACTTATATTGATCTGTAAAATATTCGTAAAAATAGCTTTATGCAAAACATAGCTTATATGCATTTTCTCATCAGTGGTGATAACGAGATTAATATCGGCGGTTGATAAAGGATTCATCCAACCTAACATTCTAACAATCTTTTGTACTATATTTTATATGAAATACTTCCGATTCATCATTAAAGTTTCCTAGCTAATGCCGGATATCCTATTTAAAAAATGAAAATAAATGAATGTCTCCGTTCCAAGGCCAAGGGGCTAATTGCCAATACAATCCCCATAAACTGTAGCGGTTGCAGCCAAGCGAAAAATGTGCTTTTCAATGCATTGATCGCGTTCACTACACAATAAGCTGTTATTGTTATATTATTGCTATGATTATTATAAATCGAAAGCATAATTCAGGCAGATTTAGTCTTCATTGTATCACATAATATAAAGTTTTTATTATTCCGCAAAAAATGTATTTTTGTATAGGTCTTTGGTATTTCTGCAAAGCTTTCACCGGGAGCGTGCGAAGTGAAACCTATTCAGACAATAATCAGATGGTAATGAACTCGTAAATCAACGGAAAACTGTTGTAGGGCAAAATTTATTCATCGTTAACTGCATGCAAATGAATAACTATAGAAAATAGGGCAAGTGGCTGTTTTGAAAAAACCGATATCATATAACCTTTATTGTTTTATCACTCAGTTATTATTGTTATTGTTAATATTGATCATGTTTGGCTCCCATTCCGGTCTACCCACACAGGTCACAATTTCTACGTTGGTTCTTGGTGAGAATGCTGAGGTTTTGATTTCTATGTTTAAATGTCGAGGCTTCCCGTCACAATGAATAAACAGCAGTGTTAGAGTGGAAGTCACTGAAGAAATAAGAATTTAGTGCATCAATTCATTTCATCTGAAACGTCAGTAAAGTCTCAGGGTTAATGGATCCTTGGCATTGAACTTCTGAGCATAATTATCGAATCTGGACCGGTCGAACCAGTGGTCGATATCATGAGCATGAGCATGAGCTGCTTGCACAGAATAAGCCACGCCATACATGCATTGCAACCACTCGACCACTAATTCATGCGAAAAACATGTGATTCTGTCTGTCCGGTCCCAGTTTAGAATACGTCTCCAGAATTTCATGGTTGTAATAGCTTACCAAATGGGGACAAGGTGGTCACGCTTCGTAATAGCGTGTCACTATGCTGACGTGGATCATGGCTCATACTTTCAGACTTGATTATTGACAGTCATATTGATGTAGCTGGAACATTGTTGACTGCGGCATTAAATAACATACGCTCACTCGAACCTTTTTTGACTTGTTAATTGACAATGCTTTGCACCGCACTCTCCCCATGGTTACCAAAACCGGTTCTTATTAAAGCTATTTATTATGTCACACTCTCCACACTATCTCCAGGTCATCAAAACGTGTTTCATAAAACTTTCTTTTAAACACACAAAGAGTCGTCAGTCTGCATGTCCTTATCTGTAACCAACCACTTCAAAGAAACAACGAAACAAACAAATAGTAAATATATCCTTCAAGCAAACAGTAAAGATAACCCCCTCGTGTGATAATCAGCTCAGTTGGTCTCACTGTTCCGTTCAAACACAAAAGATTTAAAGAAATTTGAATGTACGGTTCATTTGTCGCCGGAATGACTCTAAGCTTCACACATCGTTGCTGGTGTAAGGAGCCAATATCTCCAAACGAGATCAATACACAATTAGTTATGATTTTCAAATGAAACAGAAAGTGAAGATGTTAAGAGTGTTTATCATTGCTAAAGCTAACATGTTATTATAGTTTACAGAAAATGATGATTTAATTTAGTGTTTGCATGTAACCATATGTATAAACAAGGATACTCTCGTCAACTTGTCGTGTTGATTTCACCCGTCACTAAAATAGTCCTTTTCAATCGGCCCGACAATTGAGAAGGGCAGATAAACGAAAACGCTCTCCGATTCTAACCTTTGACAAGTAACGGTTGGGATTTGTCACGTGACCTAGCGTAAAGAAGGAATGAAAAGTGTAAACTACCGAAAACGTAGATAAGCGTTGTGAAGCACTCTGGCATTGTCCGGTGACGGTATTCTTAGCGGGGTAGCGTTCACCCGTATCCAACCTCTCGGATAGATCTTCGGCTACCCGTAGTCGTGTGGACAGAACTGGAAATATAAGCCCCCAGGTGGTGAAGGTTGTCTGGCGTCTGCCTGTCACATATTGTTTCCCAGCTTGTATATTTCATGGCTGCTGAACCTCCCGGAGATTGTGAAGTGTAGCATAGGTGGAGTTCGGTATGGTTAATACGTATTTTCTCTTCAGTCATAGGGTATGCGCACATGCGGTTTGGAGGTGAGTGAGTGTTCGCCACCTAAGACGCTAAGGCCAAACACGCATATTTTTTTTCGTGTTTCGTTTCACCAGTCGTCCAAGGCGCCGCAATTCGCTGTGCAGAGTTGCGTCCCTTGCACACTCTGACACCTATGATTGTGGTCGCGAATCCCGGTTCGCCCCGATTATATGTATCTAGGTTTTTCAGCACGATAACCCAGATCGTGGGTACACCAAAGTGATAAACGTCAAAGACCTGCCTCACTTCGGGTTTTCCTCCCATATTAAGCTGACGCGCCGTGATATAACTGTAATAATGTTCAAAGCGGCGTTAAAACCCAACTCACTCACTTACTACTACAATCCTGCAATACTACAAGTTCCAATCCTCAAGAAGTATAAGACAAACGAAACGCATCGGTTTGATCAATCCTAGAATTTGCAGTCATCAGGAGAAGCAAGAGGCCTTCTATGACCGTGTTTCCTGTAGTATACTGAACCGCAAAAGAAACGTCACCCCAAGTAACATTGCATGAAAGGTTGTCATTTAAATATCTGGGTAATTTTTGTCAAAGTTTCTAAAATTTAACATTACCTTGTCCGGAAAGATGAAATTTGATAATAAAAAAACAAAGCAGATGACAATAAAACCGATCGCGCAAACGCATCACGGCAACGGCCATGGTAACCCGATGCACGCGAGTTCCGTGCAAATTGAAATGCACATGCGTTCCCCAATTTCTTGGCCTATAGAAATCCACCCAGATCGGATAACATTCACTCGTTATTGAATTGCTACAACATGCCAAGATTGACAAGAAATCAGCGACACCAAGCCCTTGGACGATTGCAAGTTGGACAAACCGCCCGGCAAGTAGTCAATGCATTTCAAGTCCACGTAAGGACCATATACAGGCTCCAGGAACGGTACCAGACCACCAACACTACAGATGACCGACGAGTAGTGGAAGACCAAGGGTCACCACCCAACGTCAGGATCGTCAGATTGTGCGACAGCATCTTCAAGATCGCTTTGTTACTGTTGCGGAAACTGCTCGGCAGACCATGGGGACACACCAGCGACACATTAGTGCGGACACCGGGCGTCGACGATTGACGAGCAGGCACCTCCACTGTCACAGGCCAGATCGAGGACCAATTCTGACACCACGTCATCGCCGGGACCGTCTTCAGTTGGCAACACAGCACCAGCATTGGCGCCACCAGCAGTGGAGAAGAGACGAAAGTCGTTACTGTATCTCAACAGCAAATGGCAGAGAGAGAGAGAGAGAGTCTGGCGACGCCGTGGGGAACGTTATTCGGATGCTTGTGTTGTTGGGAGAGACTCGTGGGGTGGTCCGAGCATCATGGAATTGGTCATGCACAGAGGGTCGACCCTGTGGTCTTCCAGAAGATCGGTCCAGGGAGAGGCAATGGTGTCACAGCAGCTTGGTACATTTATCAAGTCTTGAGACCACACGCCGTACCTCATTTGGCACGTCGCTGCAACCATGAGTTTCGGCATGATAACGTCCGTGCCCACACTGCGAGAGCAGCAAGAGACTTCTCCAGCAGAAAGGCATCAGAACCATGCAGTGGCCTGTCCTCAGTCACGATTTAAATCCCATTGAGCACCTGTGGGACGAGATTCAAAGACGGCTGAATGACGTCCAACCAAGGCCGACAACTGCAGCTGAACTGCGCCAGGCGTTCCTCAAAGTGTGGGCCTTCATCAACCGCCTCATCCATTCCATGTATCGATGTTGCACGGCTGTCATCAATGCACATGGCGGACACACGAGATACTGACTTGTGATCCCATTTTCTCAGAGACTAGTGTTGTGTTTCACTTTAAGAACATTTGACACTATAATTTCAACCTTGATGATCTGTTTTGTCAAGTTTCATCGTTTTAATATGTCTCAAAGTATGTTTACAGTGCTTGGACAAATAAGGTTTCTCATATATCTATCCATGGCGACGTTTCTTTTGCGGTTCAGTATAGATTAGGAAGTGGAAACCATGAACATACGACATGCTCACGAACAAATTATACATTTTAGATGTATAACCTAATTGGTAAACATCACTGCATTATTGTACATCCGTAATTCTGATAACTTCACCTTAGAAATAACAGATGCCTTGCCTTCATAATATATAGTCCCATGGAAGCGTGTCAAGTTGTCAAGCCAGGACCATGGTCTGTCAGTGAGTACAGGGGACTGTGCACCTGGCTCGTGTTCCCGGCTAGGGGTAATGGCCTCTTCCGACACAAGGGGACCACTTCAGGTGATCAACGCCAAAATTCCACTAAACAGACACACGTCAAAATGAACATTAACCCTGTGATTGAGAAGTATTAATGTCACTGAGAATGAAAGATGATTCAAGCTACTGCGACATGTATACAGCAGTTTTAAG